GTCGAAGGCCCTCTCTGCGGCCGAAGGCTCTGTGTAGCCGAGGGCTTGGTCCAGCCGAAGGCTTCCCTGATGCCGAGGGCAAGAAAGTGTCGAAGGCTCCTGATTTCCGCCATTTTCTCTTGGAAGCTTCGTGTGCTCAAATCTGGTTGTTCTGTGAATTTTGGAGCCTTCGGTCATATAGCCGAAGGCTACCCTGACCGCACCTTGGGCTCCTTTGAGCTTGGGCCGCTGTGTTTTGGGCCTCTTGTGCTTCTTGGGCCTGTGCTAGAGTAGTAGGAGTCTGTGGGCCAGGGGTTCCCGGGCCATATACTCCACGTATATTCTTGATCACTGGAAGTGCTTCCTTCACTAGCATGTGACATGAATCTTAGGGTATGTTTGGTTCAAGGAATATCAGATTACCATGGAAATGTTAGATTACTGGGAATGTGATTAATGTATAGCTCATTTGTGTTTGGTTATGATTAAGGGAATGCCACATTAAGTTATTTGGTTGAATGATATCTTATATTGCATATTTGGTGAATTACTTGAATGTCCTTTAAATATTTGTCTCTTAACACATTAAACTTATCAATTATTTAATGAGTTTCATGCACACTATGGTAACGCACCCCCTCCCCAGACACAAACATCTTCATCTAAAGGAAAATCATTTTTGAAATTTACATTTGGCAATCTTATGAAAAAAAGTAAATCAACTCTTGTTATTGAACAAAGCTCAGTTAACGACCTTTCTATATATCTAACATTTCCTGTTGATTATGAAGAAGATGATGACTTTGACATTCTAAAGTGGTGGAAGGATAAAGAAAGAACGGTCCCGGTTTTATCAGAGATGGCTAATCAAGTTCTATCAATGCTGGTTTCAACAGTTGCCATAGAACAAGAATTTAGTGCGGCCGGCAACGTGTTAACAGATTATAGAACAAGATTAAGCGCAAACTCTCTTGAGACGCTTGTTTTCTACCACGATTGGTTGAAGGCCCAACGTAGAACTCAAGAACTTAGCTTTACCCCCACTCAACACTTTATGGAGGAAACAACAACCGACGGTGGCGGAGATTCCGATTGATTATTATTTATTAGAAAATGTATTTCATGTTTTAATTTTTTTCTCAATTCTCAATTGCAGTTCATGTTTCAAATAAATATACTTTAAGTTTTTCATATGTAGCACTTCTTGAATTAATTTTTAAACATGAATTAAAAAAACATACCCGGCCGGCCAGCTACCCGGGCGGGTAGACCGGCTTGAACCGGTACTTGTCAACAGTCGGTCCGGTCTCGGGCTTCATTCCCAAAAAGCCAAGCCCGGCCGGACCTGACCCGGAACCGGACCGGGCCCGATCCACCCCTAGATATGTCGATTAATGAAACATGGGTTTTTTTGGAAGAAAATTAATGATAAGCCACCAGAAATCTTACAAAACCTAAGGCATTGGTGGGTTTGGCATGCCTGATAATGTGATCACCTTTTCCACTTTTGGGAATGTAACATTCCCAAAAGAAAAATCAAACTTGCGAACCAAACATAGGTATATCACATTCCAGGCATGAGATTCCGCCCTATATAAGATATCACCTTGAACCAAACACTCCCTTATTGTTAAGTCATCTATCTAAAAAATACTACTCAATGTTTCTTACGTAGTAATTCTTATCAAATCAAGCAATGAGTGTTTAAGTTTTACTTGTCAGAATGCATTCTAAATAAAATTATACCCTGATATTGTGCATCTCATGATAATATCTTCATGTGCTCTAATTTATTCTCTACTTCCATACCTCATTTTGATGTATTTAATCATAGGTTATTACTCCTTCCATATCACAATAAGTGTCCTAGTAGGCTCTTCGTGTCAGGTGCCTCCTCGGGTGCCTCGTCGGGCGTCGGCTGCCTCGACTGGATCCTCAGCTGCCTCCGGGTGTCTGAAACTGGTTAAAAGACAGATCCTGAAAAGATCCGAATGAAAGAATATTGCTAAACCCGGAGTTGGAATGATAATAACCCATAATACCCATCTCCGGAACTTGAGGAGTCGTCTCAGGGTGCATTATATACGGCTGAGACTGAGGCTGTGGCTGAAATCCGACGCTGAAGAAATTCATTTGTCGTTCCATCGCTTCAAGCCGGGCTCTTGTTTCTTCCTCCTTTTTCCGTTGCTCGATCGGCCGAAATTAATTGACTAAAGCGTCTCACAGGGGCGTTGACCGATGACGTATTTTAATCTAGACCATTCGTGGTCCCGTTCGGCATTGAGTGCCGGATCGACAACTGTACCCAGTACGGGGCGGAGTACGTACTTTGATTAGTTAAAACTTTTCTGAGAACGCCCGGCAAACCACTAGGTGGTTCTGGTCGTGGACTATTGCAGTTTGAAAAATAAGTCTAGGCCGAGGGTTATTGTTACCGCTTCGGCCGGTAGACATGAATGAAAATAAAGGGAAAATGATGTACATGTGTAATTGTATATACTTGTATATGTTGTTCGGCCGTGCGGCCGTATTACCATGTTGATTGTGCAATGAAATTCGTTCGATATTCCCAAACGGGGAGATCATGAAGCACAGAGATGTTCATGACGATTCGGCATGAAGCGCGTAGACGTTCATGACTGGAAACAGGAAAAGAATCACATTCATTCAGAACCGTTCGGTCAGCTCGAACGGGGAGATCATGGAGCACAGAGACGTTCATGTCGTACGGGATGAAGCACAGAGACATTCATGACTGGCAAAAAGAAATCACAATCATTCAGAGCTGTTCGGTATGCTCGAGCTGGGAGATCCATGATATTCGGCATGAAGTGCAGAGACATTCATGACCGGCAAGAAGGAATCACCACATTCAGAGCCGTTCGATCAGATCGAACAGGGAGATCATGAAGCGCAAAGGCGTTCATGGTCGATTGAAAAAAGGAGGGACTACAAGTATGTATGTACCATGACACATGGAGAGGAGATCATCACGACCAAGATCCGTGAGACGAGTATCTCCCACCAGGAGGTCGAGGGCCTCAAGGAGACCATCACGGCCGAAAGGCCGGAAGACGAGCATCACGATCGTCGATCGTGGACGAGGATGACTCAAGACCGTTTGGGGGCTCCGGATCCGGTCATTGACCACAGACAAGGATGACTCAAGAATGTTCACGGACTTCAGATTCGGGCGTTGACCATGGAGGAGGATGACTCAAAAGTGGATGATGGGGGTTCCAGAAGTGCAGCCTTTCATAAATGTTTTTCATTAACTTATGCTTTATTTAAAATGGTGTGTGAATTTGTTACAGTAAGAAATCTAAATAGCATGTTTCTTATTATTTTTTTTACAAGCTAAAAGCCTAAAAGTTTACCAAAACAAGAACCAGCCATTTAGAGCTCAAAACGAAATACATTTATTTAATTTGCTCACACACTGGATATCATCCATAGCTAAAAGAGGTTCTCATATTAATAATCACACCATTAAAGAAAAAGCAGTAAATCTAACATTCCGGCCAATCATTGATAGTTTGATACAAAATGTTTTTTCATGACATATTTTCTTAAAACAAAGATTGGAATTCAAGACTAAACCTCAGGACAAACTAACCATTTTCTTGTCCAAGAATGAGACCCCCCAACCCCCAAACCATATAGATTGAGCAAGTACCTGAAAGTAATAGAAAGTCATTATAAACATTCTAAAGAGTAGCAAATGAAACACGATGAATGTAAAAGTTAGGAAAAAGAGTGCATTGCTAGAGGTACACAAAATGTGTGTACACATTTTGTGTACACATTTTTCTTATCATGAATGACTACTAACTCATGGCATCTAATTTTGAACTGCTTCCATTTTACACGCTGTAATGTAATACTGAACACAAGAACTATGCCTAATGCTTCCATTAATCTTTTCACCACAGGAGTGGTTGCATCATTCATATCTGTCCTACACACAGGATAATTAGTTAATCCTTGGGCTGGAGAATCAGCTTTGCTTTAATGAATATATAAAGAGATATTACCCAAAATGGGACTAAAAAAGTTTGAAAATTCCAAAATAGGACTTTCATATTTTTATTCCCAAAATAGGACTAATTACTGCCATGTTTTGGCAGTACCAGACTTCAAAATGGCAGTATTTTCCAAATTTGGCAGTAATTAATTTTATTTTAGGAATAAAAACATGACAGTCTTATTTTGAAATTTTCGAACTTTTTAGTCCCATTTCGAGAACTTTCCCATATATCAACTTATTAACAATCGCTAAGACACACACATACATATATTTTTTATTTATTTATTTAAATTAGATTAGAGATTAATTAAACAGTGTCCATAAATGATGATGCCAAAGGGGCTTGAACTCAAAAAACAATATTTTATGGTTTATTTAGACCAAAGCAATTTCTTATGCAACTAAATTTCTATATTCTAACGGGCAAGCAGACACTTGAAAGTGTCTTCTTTCAAAACAAAAGGTTGTGAATGACAGCAATATGCTGGTGTTAGTTTAAATGAACTTTCTGGTTTTCATTTCACTTGCTACTAATATATCATTGAAGAAAAATATATTAAAACATCCTTATGTGCAAAGTATAAATCTCTTCAGTTACCAAGCGTTCGCTAATGAGCACTACATCCCCAAAATTATAACCCTCCCACGGCATATAAGCTACCAATAAAACGTATCAGGCACTATGCGTTAGAATTGATGATATATAAACCATTCTTTGGAATTAGCTAAAGTATGATGAGGGCATGTATATGGCTTATAGTAAATGTGAATTAATGTTACTCCGTATTTGTTAACAGATGCATTCTGCACGCTAGGTATAAAAATGCAAGAAATTGATCATGTAGTAACTTGTTTACTTAGGATTCTTACTCCATATTTCTGGTTTTCATTTCACATTGGTGCGCACTAATTTAAAGAAGAATGAAAACATGCATAAATAATGTACAAATTCTACAATATAAATAATGTACTAGTTCTACAATTAGAATAATGTATTAAACCATATTATTAAAAAAGAAGCACATAATAACTCATACTAAACCATACCAGTTAAACTAAACAAGTAAAAACAGAAAAATCAAACACAAAAGAGGACAACTTGGGTGTGTTTGGAACCGATTATGCTTCTGCTTCTTTTTTAAAGTAATAGCAGAATCAGAATCAGTTTTCAGAAGCTGGTCTCCCCCAGATTCTAAAAAACTGATTCTAGGAGTAAATTAGATCACCAGAGGTACTTCTACACTTTCATCCAAACATTTCAACTTATGCTTTTGCTCCCTGAAGGAGCATAAGCAGTTTCAGGAATCGGATCCAAACATCCCTTTAAATGATGACTAATTGCACTGTTGGAGAAGTGGCATGCCCTCGCAATTGTTGATGTAAAACTTGTGATTTGCTCTTATCAAACTTTGAAAGCCTCGATTCTCGCAACCAACTAATCTCCGTATAACCTTTGTTCTTATTAAATTTTGTAGTACAGCTAGAATTCCTTCTTAAAACCATCCTCTCGAGAGCCAAAGCACTTTTCAGGATATACAATACCAAAGAAATCTCATCCTCAAAACCATAGAACCCACCAAGTTCTACTTCTTTTAGATGAAGATGAGGATGACTTCTGGGAGATAGACTCCTTGCACCATGTGGTCTGTGTGGTGTTATCTCCCTTCGCTGTACACATGGAAACTTATCATCGTTACCCACAATGAAATAGTTAGAAGATCAACGTCATATTTTGAGTATACTCTGGTTCTGTTCGCTTGTAGAAAAGAAAAACCAACAAATATTTTCCTCGTAAATAAGATTTTATACTGATTGTGTGTATAAATAAATATATTGTTTAACCCACAAATTCAAAGAAAAAAATAGGTAAAATAAAGAAATATTTCATAAAAATGACTTCCGCTTCTCAAAAGATGGAAGTCATTTTCCAAGGAGTTCTCATGTGCAAAACAAGGAGCGTGAATGATCTGAGTTGAGTTCAGCTTGAACTTGGGCATGCTCAGGCTTGAGCTTGATTAGAATCCACTGGCTTGAGCTTGAAAGAGACTAATAATTTCTCCCTGAGCTTATTTCGTGATCGGCTTGAGTTCGAATCGAGCTTGGCTAGAGTATTTATCATCAAGTTTCATATGTTCGAGCTCGAATTAAGCTAAAAAATCTATTTTTAAAATTACACATATTATCTTTATACATAAAAATAAGTAAATAAATAAATATTATACGTAGTATAACATTTGTACTTTTGAGTTCTCATTTTTCATTAGCGTCTCTCTAACTCACTACAGTTTTTACTCCTTATTTTATTATCAATCAATTAAAATTTAGGGAGAATTCCCTAAATGGGAGTAAATAAATTCTTAATTGTCAAAATAGGACTAAAATTTGAGAATTCCCTAAATAGGAGTTATTATTTGTATTTGGACATCGATACCCTTGAAGCTTGGTAACATGTTGCCGGACACAATGCTGGATTGCTGCCACTCGCCGGCAACCACCATTCGCCGGCCACCGCCGCGGCCTCAAAATTGACCGTCGTTGCAGATCTGGAGCGGAGGAGTAGATCTGGACGCCTCCAGCCACGAACTGCTGCCCCATGAATCTAAAATGCCATTTTAATGGCATTTTCAAAGGGAAGCACAGATTTTTTTAGAAGAATAAAAATGCCATTAGAGCATAGTAAATTTGGCAATTTTAACAACTAAAGAAGAAAATGGCCAAACATCGGGCCTGCGACAACTACAGAAGACGAGAAGAGAGAAACAATAAAGGAGGAGGAGGAAGGAGGGGGGAGAACAACGAGCTTCATTACTCCGGCAACAGATCTGATCGGATTTGCTACTCCTTGCTCGCGCCTGCTCACATCTCTTGCTCGTTGCTAACCGATGGTGCTACAGTTGCTCGCAGCTTCCAGAATCTCGTTGAAGCAGCTCAATATTGGAGAAGATAGCTGGTGCACAGACTCTAATTTAAAAAGCATATTGGAGAATAGTGGTGGACAGAGTCTAATCTAAAAAGAAAAGAAACAAATTGATCTGCCAATAATGCGTGCGTGGAAAAGAGAGGCCGTCTCCTGGGCGTCTCATGAGTAGGAGGGGTAAAAGCGGAATAGTAGTCCTATTTGGGAATAAAAATATATCTACTACTATTTGGGAATTTACACACTAATTTAGTCCTATTTAAGGTTAAAAAAATTCTAAAAATTTAATATATGTATGTATAGAGACATAAATATAAATAAGTATATAATATGAATGTGGATACATACATATACTTATGCACACACATAGATTTTGGTTTAAGTGAGAAATGCGCCTAATGTGAGAAAGGAGAAAGAATATAAAAAAGGAAAAATTGATAGTAATAATCATAATTATTGGCGGTCCGCTCATAATAATCCTAACTATCGATTATTTCAAAATATCCTAACTTTAGGGACCTTCCGCCAATAATGGTCCATGCAAATAAATTCATGTACTTTCTAAAGTGGATGAGAAGAGATATAACAAGTATCCCTATAAATAATCCCAACTTTTAAGTTTTACGCTTAATTTCTATTTAAAATTCACTTGTTAATTGTTATGAGGTAATATCTGGTCATGAACCATTATTGGCGGATGGTCCATATAGTTGGAATTATACAAAAAATAATCAACAGTTGAGATTAATTTCAGCGGACCGGCAATAGTTGGGATTATTATTTTCAATTTTTCCTATAAAAAATAGGATTTACAATGTTGCACTGAAAACGGTTTCATGTTACAGTAGAACATAAATTTTGTCATGTTGCACTACAATAGTTTCATGTTGCACTTGGATTTTGATGCATTAAAATAGTTTCATGTTACACTACATAGGTGTAACATAGATTTTTCAAAAATATTTACGAAAACGTCACCGTGCATGGTTGCATTTTTCAGTGCAAACTGGAACTCTTTTACTACAACATAATCAAATCCAACGACTGAGATTTATTCTCATTTCTCGCCTAAAGGCTCTTATTTTAACCTCACCCTACTACCTCTGTTCCATATGTGTGTGTGTGTCTATATATATATATATATATATATATATATATATATATATAGAGAGAGAGAGAGAGAGAGAGAGGAATGTTCATGTCAGGCCGGCCTGACGGGCTGCCCCGTCCGGCCGAGCCCGTTTGGGCACCTTCCCGGTGGAATTTTTTGATGAAATTTTTTGAGCATGTTCCTCATCAAGTCTAGTTTGTTCATACAAAATTTCAGCTCAAAATTCAATCGGGAAGGTCGTCAAATGATTTTTTCAAGTTAACTGGTCCGGAAAATACATATTCCGGACCAGTTAACTTGCAAAAATCATTTGACGACCTTCCCGATCGAATTTTGACGACCTTCCCGATCGAATTTTGAGCTGAAATTTGGTATGGACAAACTAGACTTGATGAGGAACATGCTCAAAAAATTTCATCAAAAAATTCCACCGGAAAGGTGCCCAAACGGGCTCGGCCGGACGGGGCAGCCCGTCAGGCCGGCCTGATGAGAAGAGCACTATATATATATATATATATATATATATATATATATATATATAGAGTCCTGATCCTGTCCAGACGTCCGGACAGGAACCGCCGTCCGGCCGGCGGCGTTTGGCCGCCTTCCCGGTGGAATTTTTTGATGAAATTTTTATGGCATGTTCTCCATCAAGTCTAGTTTATCCACAAAAAAATTCAGCCAAAAACTCAATCGGGAAGGTCGTCAAATGATTTTTGCAAGTTAACTGGTCCGGAAAATACATATTCCGGACCAGTTAACTTGCAAAAATCATTTGATGACCTTCCCGATTGAGTTTTTGGCTGAATTTTTTTGTGGATAAACTAGACTTGATGGAGAACATGCCATAAAAATTTCATCAAAAAATTCCACCGGGAAGGCGGCCAAACGCCGCCGGCCGGACGGCGGTTCCTGTCCGGACGTCTGGACAGGATCATTTGTGTATATATATATATATATATATATATATATATATATATATATATATATATATATATATATATATATATATATCTTGAGAAATCATCTCATCAGGCCGGCCTGACGGGCTGCCCCGTCCGGCCGAGCTCGTTTGGGCACCTTCCCGGTGGAATTTTTTGATGAAATTTTTTGAGCATGTTCCTCGTCAAGTCTAGTTTGTCCATGCCAAATTTCAGCTCAAAATTCGATCGGGAAGATCGTCAAATGATTTTTGCAAGTTAACTGGTCCGGAATATGTATTTTCCGGACCAGTTAACTTGCAAAAATCATTTGACGACCTTCCCGATCGAATTTTGAGCTGAAATTTGGTATGGAAAAACTAGACTTGATGAGGAACATGCTCAAAAAATTTCATCAAAAAATTCTACCGGGAAGGTACCCAAACGGGCTCGGCCGGACGGGGCAGCCCGTCAGGCCGGCCTGATGAGAAGAGCTCTCTCTCTCTATATATATATATATATAGAGTGCCGTTCTTGTCCAGCCGGCCTGACGGGATGCTCCGTCCGGCCGAGGGCATTTCGGGCACTTCCCGGTGGAATTTTTTGATGAAATTTTTTGAGCATGTTCTTCATGAAGTCTAGTTTATCCATACCAAATTTCAGCTTAAAATTCGATCGGGAAGGCATTCAAATAATTTTGTGAAGTTAACTGGGCAATTTATATGTATGAACTGCCCAGTTAACTTCAAGAAATTATTTGAGTGTCTTCCCGATTGAATTTGTAGCTGAAATTTGATATGGATAAACTAGACTTCATGAAGAACATGCTCAAAAAATTTCATCAAAAAATTCCACCGGGAAGTGCCCGAAATGCCCTCGGCCGGACGGCGGTTCCCGTCAGGCCGGCTGGACATGAAAAGTCCTCTATATATATATATAGGGAACTCTTCCGGTAAGGTATACCTTACCGGAGCCGCCGTGCGGCCTCCACGTTTTGAGGGCCTTCCCGGTGGAATTTTTCGATGAAATTTTTTGAGCATGTTCTTCATCAAGTCTAGTACACCCATACCAAATTTCAGCAAAAAATTCAATCGGGAAGACAGTCAAATGATTTTTGGAAGATAACTGCACCCTTTATATACATATAAAACGCAATTATCTTCCAAAAATCGTTTGGCTGCCTTCCCGATTGAATTTTTTGCTGAAATTTGGTATGGATGTACTAGACTTGATGAAGAACATGCTCACAAAATTTCATCAAAAAATTCTACCGGGAAGGCCCTCAAAACGCGGAGGCCGCACTGCGGCTCCGGTAAGGTATACCTTACCGGAAAGATTTCCTATATATATATATATATATATATATATATATATATATATAGAGAGAGAGAGAGAGAGAGGCCTGATCCTGTCCAGCCGGGGGGACAGAACCCGCCGCCCGGATGTCGCCATTTGGGGTCCTTCCCGGTGAAATTTTTTGCTGAAATTTTGTGAGCATGTTCTTCATGAAGTCTAGTTTATCCGTAAAATTTCAGCTAAAAATTCAATCGGGAAGGCAGTCAAATGATTTTTGGAAGTTAACTGCGCAGTTTATATACATATAAAACGCAGTTATCTTCCAAAAATCATTTGAGTGCCTTCCAAATTTGGTATGGATAAACTACACTTGATGAGGAACATGCTAAAAAAATTTCATCAAAAAATTCCACCAGGAAAAGCCTCTGATGGCCTTGGCCGGACGGCGCCTCCCGTCCCTCCAGATGGACCTGATCTTTTCTGTGTGTGTGTGTATATATATATATATATATGTATATATATAGGGTTGAATTTTACACTATTTACATACTCAAATTTGACTGCATTTTATTTTTTAATGTACTAAAATTTTAATTTTTTTTAAAAAACCGTTAAATTCCGCTCATTTTATATTTTCTAAATTTGACTTTTAAAATATTTTTACTCATAAAGAATGAAATATATCAATTGTCAAAATTGTGTGTTGGAAAACGTGAGAATGGAAAGGTTGCAACTAAGAAATGAACAGAGGAAGTATGTGTGCGTGTGTGTATTTGTTTATATATAAATATATGTAATGGCTCGCAAGTCATGAGTTATTGTTTAACGAGCCGCATCGGGTTTGAGTTTGACCCAGCTCCTCTCTCTCGAGAGAGAAGTCGTGTTATGCTAAAATGGTTACAGCTTATTTTCCCAAGGACAGTGCACAAATAACATTCTGTGTTTGATCCCTCCCCTTTTGTTTCTCTTTCTTTTATCATCACAAAAGTTGGTTTTATTGAAATAAAAATAAAAAAAATAAATAGCTGACCTCCTTGACTTGAGTGTATAACAATATCAATCAAGTTCCCAATAAAGGTGAATGCAATTATGTTACCTATGTTCACCTCAAACCAAACAAACCATTAATTAAGAAAGAATAACCACTCCTCGCTAAAGAAGGGGAAGGAAGGGAACTCACCACCAAATGCAATATCTGAAGCAGTGGACAGTGAATGATTAAATCAGCAATCTGGGTCACATAAAACAAGTCATTGAACTCCAATAGTATGTCAAGCTGCCTCAAACGGCTAAATGTGGGCACCTTACGCGGCAAACCATATGCCACATGGCTTGTACCCAGCTAATGATGTGAAGCAAATCACCACTGTATGCTACGTTCAAGCTGACATGCTGGAGCTTGGGGACATGGGAAGGGTGAGAAAACTTCAATGCTAGGTCACTCTCTAAACCAAGTTTCAAGGTTCGAAGGTTTTCAGCACACAAATATATCTCCTCCAACTCCTTCCCATAACAGTTGATAATGGTTAATGACTTCAACTCCAAATGTTTTCCTCCGCCAACGAACACCTTAGAAGGAAGAAAGCAATACTCCAACCATAGAGACTCGAGTTTCGGGCATGATGACAATATGCTCTCCACGTCTACTGAATCAATAAAATCCAACTTTATGGATTTTAGATATTTTAAAGGTTGTTGGGGATTGAGGGGTTCCAGATTGCTTGAAGCCAGATGCAGAAATGTGAGCCCAGGTGCTGCTGCTTCGCATACAAGCTTCTGAAGCGAGATATCGATCGGTTCGGATTGATAACACAACTTCAGCGTAAGCTCTTCCACACCCAATCCAACAAGGTGATGCACCCAGCGCTCAATGTGGCATGTGAAATCTCTCTTAACACAAAATGATAGTCTGAAAGATTTGATCTTTTCAGAGCCAGCTCTTCTATGGATTTGAAAAAACCTATCAATGGCACTCAGATATTCATTCTTGTACTCAGCAGTACAACTACACTGGACAAAAGCAGAATTAGCAGACTCCATCGAACATGGGCAGCTAAAAGAATAATTAGGCAGAAAATGATAGAGGTTACTCCACCGACTACACAATATGCTTGTCCTAACTGCATCTTTTGTATCCAGTCGTGAGAGGATGGAGCACAGAATATCATTTGGCATTGCACTTATTCGGTCCTCCACCTCCTAAGTGAAAAGCAAACCATAATTACTTAATTTAACACTTAAATAATTATAGAAAAACACTTATAAATCAAGAACAGGTGATTGGAACGTCCCCCCATATCCCTTTTACACAACTCAATTGCAAACAAAAGATCTAATGGTAATCAACTTGTTATAGTGGACAATAAAAAACCGACCCAAATCATGAAATGTTGCTGCAGAACACATAAATCAACAGCAAAAAAACAGCAACATTGTCACACTGACCAAAGCTAAAAATACCTTCTTATGCAGGCGTAGATATGAAGAAACAACAGTTCCAATTCGAAGTCCCAATCCTGTGAGGACCATTAAGGGAAAAACCAACCGAAGCTGCGGTAACCATATTCCTGAAGACACCAATGGAGAAAAAAGAAAATGAAATCAATCACCCCCACTGTCCTATGGACTATTACTTTTCCAAACTCCACCTACAACATATTACTAAAGACACCAAATTCTTACCAAGCTTATCATCATAACTCGTTGACATGATCCAATTTCGTTCTTTTAATTTGTGAGGATAAATAAAAAACCCGTAATTAAATCTATATCCGCTACAGGTAAGACAGAAGAACGTCTGCAGGTAAAAAGGAAGCAAACGTCAAAACAATCTACTATAATATAATAGCAAATTGATTTGGGAGGAATTTCCCACCCAAGCAGTCTGTCCAAGACTAAGCCTGACATCCGTTGAATTGATTTAACGAATAGATTTATCAATTAATGTACCGGCAGATTGCTTTAAAATTAGGGTGTTGGATGCTCCAACGTTTGGAATTCTCCCAAAGAAATTCATGGAGGGATTTTCCCTCATCGTAAAACCCAGTTAACAGATAACAAACAAATGCACCGCTTCGTTTGCATGTCTACATGCACTCTTCATTTTTTGTATTAAAAGTAGAAACAATTAATGATTCTGTAGAAAACGATTTGGCCAACATGCTAATCAGACACATCATTCACTGCTTATACCCAACTATCCCCATGAAAGCTATGTTTTAAAAATGAAATTAGGCAGATACTCCGTATTTAGAATATTGAAAGTTACAAGAAGTCATTTTAACATAAAATCCATAAGATATTGAATTATGCTAGACAAGTTATCTTTAAATAGGAGCTCTACACATGTCCCTCCTCACTAATCATCTGCCTAATTCTTAGACAGCTCAGGCAGAATACCTGCATATGAAGAGGTAAAAGTAATAAGTTACTGAGTTTTTTAGTATTTTTTTAGTTATGCTCTCTATATGAGCAGAAAATATATGATTTTTTTTTAATATGTTCATATTATTTAAATGTAATAATACTAATCTATCTGAAAAAATCCCTATTGGATACAAATCTACATATTCAAATGTCATAGAGAAAGTTTAATCTCAACACTTTTATTTCTCCCTTATTTTTTGGCAAACTGTGATAGTAATAACTTTTGAGATATTATTTTAACGCTAAATGGCATTATCTGTTTAATTAGTGGTGTTCAATGCCACTATATGATCCTATCTGATTAGGAGAAAATTGCTTTTGAACAACAGATTAAAGTCTCACACTTCAGGAAAAAAATCATAAAACACTAAGAAGAAAAATGGCATAGAACCACAGCAAACCAATTTCTTTTAAAAATTGAGGTTTGATCAAAATATAGACTATTTAAACTTCATCATCATTGCCCCAGTGCATCAAAGGCTCCCACCTACGGTGGGGTAAGAAGGGGTCGGATGTACGCAGTCTTAGTGAAAATTGCGTACAAAATTTCATTGAGACTGTTTCCGGATGACCCATAGTGAAAATTGCGTCAAAAATTTCATTGACTGACTGATGTTTCATAACAAAGAAGCGCATACAGTTTAGTGAGCCATTTTGTTTTGTTCCATCATATTCTCAAGCCAAAAAATAGTGAGTTTTTGGCTCCATTGCACTCAGAAGCACAGACAGCTTAGTGAGCCATTTTGTTTATTCCATCATATTTAAACTTATACACCTAAAAATTATTTTAATTTTAAAAGATGCCAGCCAAATGGAACATTTTAGGATTTCATAAGAAAAGTGGATGTCTAATATGGAGTACAATGTATTGGAGTAAAACTTTGGAATGTTTTATGAAATTCATTCAACATTATCACTACCCCAGTGCCACAAAGGCTCCCACCTACTGTAGGGTAAGGGGGGTCGGATGTACGCAATCTTACCCCTGTACTAAAGCAGGGAGACCCATAGTGAAAATCGCGTCCAAAATTGCACAGATAGTTAAGTGAGTCATTTTGCTTACTTCCATCATATTCTCAAGCCAAAAAATAGTGAATCTTTGGCTCCATTACAAATGATGGAAAAATGAGTTTGACCAATACATTCTCATATGACGTTAGATTGAGGTTACCCAGGAAAAAAGATTAACAATTTGTTTTGGCTTTATGCTGTTAATGAGTATAGGTAATATATACATTTATATTTTCAAACAACGCATATGTATAATAAAGAATTGATAACATGTCATTTTTAAAAAAAAATTAAAATACTATTCTTTGTGTTAAGCTAGCAGAGTGAATTGTAAATTTAGTTCAAATGGAGTGCTTCCCAGATTAAAGAGCATAGTTCAGTGCGTTTCAGGTTTCAGGTTAGTAAATCGACTCCTTTGTATCACTGGTTCTTTAAATTATAAAAAAATTCAATATCAAGTTCAGTATAAAGAACATTTATATGTTCTTTATGTTTTAAATAAAAAACGTTTGGGGTTGCTTTGTGCACCCCCAAAGTTGCTTAATGTAACCTAGGTTGACAATTTTAACCTTACTCTCGTTAAAGTTATGCGTTCAAGTCCAAAATGAAACCTCCTTTACTGGATGCCGTGGCAGTTTTTTTTTTCTTTAAAGCTATTAAAATTACATTCTTTTTTAAAGTTCCTTTTGTTTAAATAAATTTTAAATAAATGTATTCTATTTGCAGTTATTTACGTCATTCAAAATTTATTGATCTCAATGAAACTATATAAATTTATTAAGGGATAAGGGTCAGATAGGGCCTCGAACTCGAAAAAAAATGTCAAATAAGGTCATATTTCGGATGCTCTGTCTGGCCGACGCCATTTGGGGCGGTTCCCGATGGCATTTTTTGATGAAATTTTTTGAGCATCTTCCTCATTAAGTCTAGTTTACCCATACCAAATTTCAGCTAAAAACTCAACCGGGAAGGTAGTCAAATGAATTTTTGAAGATAACTGTGAAGTTAAACAACGCCGTACATTTCGGAAAATTATTTGACTACCTTCCCGGTTGAATTTTTAGCTGAAATTTGGTATGGGTAAACTAGACTTAATGAGGAAGATGCTCAAAAAATTTCATCAAAAAATTCCATCGGGAACCGCCCCAAATGGCGTCGGCCAGACAGAGCATCCGAAATATGACCTTATTTGACATTTTTTTTCGAGATCGAGGCTCTATCTGACCCTTATCCCATTTATTAATGTATTTCGAAACTGAAAAAAAAGTTTGAGTTATAACTACTTTTTACATTTTAGAATTTACTGTATAACTGCTTTATACTAAGGATAAATAAGCACACTTAAAACTTATTCTCTATCTGAATTGACTAAATTTGGATTTCACAGACTAAATTCTATAATAGTTAATATAAGAAATGTTATATTTACTTTCTAACTAATTTGATTTAAGTTATTCTAGATGACCATTTTTAAATAAAGATTTACAACATTTTTTTTAAATAAATGTGTACTCACTTCCCAATTTTTAATTTTTTAAATGGGATGTAAACTATGAGAAATAATTACACACACACACATATATATATTTGTATGTGTGTGTATATGTATGTATATATATGAATAAAAATTCTAAAATATAAACAAAAGATAAACACCCCCTAATTTTATCAACAATTATTAGGATAAACAAATTTGGGATATATTATAGTAACCATAAATCTTATTTTTGTTTTTATTTTTAAATTAGTACACCCTCCGTAACATTCATATCTTCCCACTTTCCCTTTTTGGACGTAACATTTATATCTTCCTATTTCTAAATCTTCACATCATACCCTTAATAATTTAAAAAATAATACACTACTACACCTACTTTTTTTGGATTTATCCTTCATTCCATCACACTATTTCACCATCTTCTCATCATACCCTCAATAATTCATACCCCATTTCACTATTCTTAATCTCTCCCACTTTGGAAGTGGGAAGATATATGTGATATGGATGGAGTATTATTTTAAAAAATATCTAATTATAAACAAATAAAATATTTTCTAGATCGAGTATTAAAGAAGGAATAAACTTTTTTTGACCAAGAAGGAATTCGAAAAGACTTGCTCGTAGTAATACTCCGTAGCAATTTGACAGAGGTTAAATGTTAAAACCTTCGAAACACATCAGGACATAATTGTCCAATGGCGTTGTAAATGGGGCGCGCTTAGCAAAAAGAAAGGTGTGCCGAGATGCTCCGAAAACGTTTTAAGTCATACTTCTGAAATAATTTTATACGAGTATTAAAATATAAAATAATTACATATTTATGACTAAAATAAAAATTGTTTACAAAATGTTATTAATGACTATAGTAATGAAATCATAGTAACTTATGTTCAATTTTTAAAATTAAGGTACTATGACACTACGCTGTAATAACTAATAGTCATATTTTTGTAAATATGTTTTATTTTAGTAATATTTATATTAAAAATCCTTAAAATATAAAATAGATTCATCGTTATATCTAGTTAGTGGACAGAGTTTGATCCCATAAAGTTGTTACTAACTAACAGGGGTAGGAGACTGACTGAACACCCACCCTAGTTGGTGACTGGCCATATGAGAATCCAAAGCCTTGTTTTTTTTTAGAAAAGTGGGGAAAACAAATAAGAAAGGAAAATAGGTCCCCTTACATCTGTCAAAAAAAAAAAGTTATTCCGGAGCTGGGATTAAGAAAATATTTAATTATCTATAATCTCAGAAAGCAAATAATAAAGGAGCAAAGTACAATTATTTCCTAAATCTTTTACAAAATAAAAAAAAATGAATTAAGTATAAAGTTTACTTATCTTTCCGTATGGGAATTCACCATTTATTCCTTGCGTAAAAAAAATAAGAAGATGAGATATTCGTCACAGTTTCGCAGTATCACAATTGATAAGGTATCGGACTAACCTTCCGATGACGTACTGACGCAGGTCGTGGATTTCCTCGGAGAGCGCAGTTCTTATCCTGACAGGATGTAGTGGTATTGGCGAGAGTTATTCGGACAAGGTGAAGCAGAGAGGGTCATGATTTTGGGATATTGATCGGCCAGAGATGGTGCTGAAGTTTTATGCTGCAAGGATAGATCGCTGATATACGGAGTATTTATTTACGGAGTACTCTGTAGTCCGTATTATTTAAGGTTGTGTATTGGTCCGGAGTGAGCCTTGGTCCAAAACTGGACCGGACCAAAACCAATGGGACCGGAATCGGAATCGGATCAAAAGATTCCGGGTCAGAAAAGACTGGACTAGTAGAGAGATCAAAATTGAAAATTAAATAATTTTATCATTAGCAAAATTAATACTCTTATAAAATAATTACTTCCAAAAACTCATAATCCATAAATATATATATATATATATATATATATATATATATATTAGTCTAATTCAAGTAAAAAAACTAAGTAAAATTGCATTCTTGGCTACGGACAATCTCATTCTTAGATGATGTAAAAAGTAATTCTATGGATTTCTGATTTATCACTAATGACATCTAGTGTGTGACGAAGCACGCGAAACCAAAGAGAATGCCCCCCACAAAGGAAAGGGAATATTTTGGATTTCAAAGACTTGACTCTTGTTAAAAAAACTATATAGTATAGGAAAAAGGGGTAAAATGACCCTAAAGTTATG